CCCCAAAACCCCAAAACCCCAAAACCCCACAGTATAAAAATAATGTTGTTATAGTAAAAATAAGAAACTTAATTATGGATTAGCTATCATTAATTGTATCACCTAAATATATCAGTGCTCAAAATAATAGCAATAGCATTATTTAGGATCAATCTAGGCCAAGGACTACTATTTTAAAATCTAGATTAAGGGAGAGATACAATCTCAGTACAGGTGGTGGTGGATGTGACACAATTAGAATGAGAAATAAGAGTGGACGTTAAACAGTAGTCACTTCCACAGCATGTAATTCACCAGACTCCTCAAAAATAAAAATTAGTCACTCAAAAACACCTAGTATTGCAAATACTCTCAATCATGATTGCAATGACGGCTAGCACTCAAATTTTAATGATTACTTTGAGCTAAAGGTAACATAATCATCATCAGATTTTCATATAATTTTATAGCCCAGGAAGAAATATGTTTTCTCAAAATCAAATGCAAGAGATTAAATGACAAATGACACTAGCTATATTAATTCAATGAGCAATATTGAGCCCAAGGATCAAAGTAGTTTACGACCGATTTCAAGAGTATCGCTATTTTCTAATCGAGAAAGAATTCTGAAAAAAGTAGATTTGAGATAGAAATTATTGTCAAATATTCGAGCCGAATATAAGGAATAACTTGTTCTAAAAACAATAAAGAAGCCAACTTTATATAAGCCTAAGCCCAAATTACAAGAAATGCTTAATCTCAGAGACAGTGCATTTTAAGGACATATAGATTAGCAAATTAGGAATAGATTTAAGAATAAGCATGTCGTAATTAGTCAATCTGTTGTAGGCTCAGAAAACACCTCTCCACGAATATAAAACAAGTCAATGCTAGATAAAAATATCAGTATGCCTTTCATTGAGAAGTCATAAAAATCCTTTAGATAAAATATTCACGATATCTATTTTTAGCTGAATAATTAGCCTAAGAATTCTTATTTTACAAACTAGTTCATTTTTATGTACCAAGATGATTCTCTATCCTCTAGAGAGAGAAGGAATCATTTCAAAATGATAGAGCACTAAAAGAGGCTCGATGCTCTCGAAAGAAGAAATAGATTAAAGGAGTTACTATTGCGACAACAGGAGGAGGAACTTAGAAAAAGATAGGAGAGAAAAGTGCAAAAGTAAAGAGAGATAGAATTAAAGATTAATGTGTCTGTATCTAAAATTTAAAGATTCATCAGAAGAAGGTAGTTAAAACAAAGAATTATCAGAGCTCTAAAGAATTTCCTTAGAGAGAATTAAGTACTTCTGTTAGACATGGCTAAACTTTAAGATACTTTGGTAAGCCTGAGGGAAGAGACTGAAAAATATGTGATTACCTATATTACAAGAAAAGAAAAAGTAATTAATTATTTATTTATCTTATCTAGGAAATTATTACGATTCAAAGATTCTACAGGGCTAGACTTCAAAGAAGAAGATATCTTAAGGAATAAGCAATGAGAAGAGCCTTGCATGCAATGATCAACAAAAGAGATAGAAATGTCAGAAAGCTGCTTCTATAATCAGCTTTTAGAGCATTTGCTACTTAAGTACCAAAGAAAATAAAGTATAATGGAGAGAAATCCCAGAAAAAAGAAGCTGTATTTTTCAAGAAGCATACATTCAAAAAGCAAAGCTCAAAAATAAGCGACTATTGAAATAATTAAAGTCTTCACTTTATTATATGAACTAGAGGCAATAATATAGACAAATTTTCAATTAATTATTTAGGAAAAGTTTGCCAAATTATTATGCATTGTTGAATCTTATGGGGTTTTGGGGTTTTGGGGTTTTGGGGTTTTGGGG